CATGGCAGATGGGAGGAGCATGGCAGACCATATGAGCATGGTAGACCGCACAGGACACAGGAGCACGGCAGACCTTCCAGGAGCACGGCAGACCACAGGAGCATGGCAGACCACGCAGAAGCGCGGCAGACCGCACAGGAGCACGGCAGACCACAGGTCCACGGTGGAGCACACAGGAGCACGGCGGAGCACACAGGAGCACGGGAGACCCCACAGGAGCACGGCAGACCATGCGGTTGTTCGGCAAACCACACAGGAGCACGACGGAGCAGAGAAGCATGGCCGACCACACGAGCGCAGCAGACCACACACGAGCATTGCAGATCATAGGAGCACGGCAGAACACAGGAGCATGGCGGACCACACAGGAGCACGGCATAGTACATAGGGTCACGGCAGACCGCACGGACACGGTAGACCACACAGAAGCACGGCAGGCTTCATAGGAGCATTGCACGTCATAGGAGCACGGCAGACCCCGCAGGAGCACGGCATATTACACAGGACCACGGCAGACAGCACAGGAGCATTGCAGACCACGGCAGGAGCGTTGCAGACCATAGGATCACGGTGGAGCACAGGAGCACGGCAGATTTCGCAGAAGCACGGCAGACAACACAGGAACATGGCAGACCACACAGGAGCACGGCAGAATTCGCAGGAGCACGGCAGATCACAGGAGCACGGCAGACCACACAGGAGTATGGCAGACCAGGCAGAAGCACGGCAGACCACAGGAGCACAGCCAAACACGTCATAGGAGCATGGCAGACCGCACAAGAGCACGGCATACCACACAGGAGCACGACACACCACAGGAGGAGCAAGGCAGACCACAGAGGAACGGTTGACCCGACGAAGCACGGTAGACCACAGAAGCATAGCAGAACACACAGGAGCATGGCAGACCATATGAGCATGGTCCGTAGCCATTGTGGCTCAAGGCCTCTGAGAACCCGACGACCGCGAGTCGTTCGCGGCGCTCTGAGCGCGAGGGTCTCCGCGCTTTGGGCCAGTGCACTTCGTGTTTCAGCTCCCTGCTTTCGCGGCGCGGAGGCGCAGCCCCTCGGCCAGCGCGGCAGTGGCCATGGCGAGGCCCCCGCGTGGCGGTGGCAGCAGCAGGCGCAGCAAGTCCTACTGGATGTGCAGCTGCGGAGGGTGGAACTGGGATTGGCGCGCCTCGTGCCTTGGCTGTGGGCATGCGGCCCCGCCTTGGGCGATGGGAGCGTCCCCAGCCAAGGCGAGGCCCAAGGCAGACAAGGACGGCTGGGTGGATCAGCCACGTGGGCGCCGTGCCCAGAGGCAGGCCCGCGGCGCGGCCTCGCGGGCAGCCTCCACCAAGTCGCAGACCGCGGCTTCGGCAGCGAGCGGGACGCCCAGCGGCGGAGGCGCCACGGCGATCGAGAGGCTCCAGGCGGCAGTCGAGCAGCTCGAGGCGCTGCAAGCCGAGCCGCCTGACGGAGTGGACGGCTGCTTCACCGACGTCGTGGCCAGCCAGCTGGAGGCGAAGCGCGCCGAGCTGGTCAGCGCCCAAAAGGCGGCAGCGGAGCAGAAGGCCTCCTCCCTGCCACGGGCGACGCGGCTCCACAGGGAGGCGAACGCCATCTGCAAGGGTGAGAAGCGGCTCCGGGCAGCCCGCCTGGAGCTCGAGCAAAAGCTGGAGGCGCGCAATCCCGTCGAGACCCAGCTCCAGAAGGCCCAGGAGGAGCTCGCGGAGCTCGACGCGGAGGTTGAGGAGGCGAGCCGCGCGCTCCAGGTGCTCGAGGAGACAGCCCGCGAGGAGGCGGAGGCGCTGCGCCGCCAACGCGCAGCCGAGTGGACAGGAGCCAGCCAGGTGCCAGGGCTCCTCGTGCAGCTGGAGAAGTTGCCAGAGGCCTGGGGCTCCAGCAACTTCGAGGTGGCTCGGGCAGCCATTCGCGCCCAGATGGAGGCCGTGCGGGCGCAGCTCGAGGGGGCCCCAGTGGCCCCCAAGCGTGCGCCGTGGGAGGAGTCCTGCCCCATGGAGGAGATCAGCAGCGACGATGGCGATCTCGCTGACGGCGGTGGCCCCTGGCAGCCACAGCCAGCCGCGGAGCGAGGCCAAGCCGAGCGGAGCGGCAAGGCGCTGGGCGAGTGGCCGACGGTGGACCTGGCTCCTCTGGCTTCTCGCCCTACTGGCAGGTCCGCTGGGAGCTGCGTCGGAGAGGCGCAGCCAGGGCCAGCGAGTGCCTAGCGAGACCTGCGCGGCGGGCCTGCGCCTGCACGGGCGTGGCCGCGCCGAGGTCGGCGAGGGCAACTTGATGGAGTTCCACGGCATAGGCGTCATCGACCCGCCCAGGTACCTAGAGCACGCTGCAGAGCCCAGCTGTTTCCTCATCCTCCTGGACGCCGAGGAGAACGCGATCGGGGCCCTCGGGTTCGGCGCTAGCGAGTGGAGCGACCCCATGGGCAGAGCAGGCACACCTGGGCATCCCGAGGCGATGGCCAGGATGGCGGATCCGCAGCAGCCAGCCGAGCAGCCACTCAGGGCTCGGGCTCAGGGACTGGTGGCGGCAGCAGCCAGGTGCGCTATGGCCGCCACTGGGATGCGCTGGGCCTCGCCCGTCGACGCAGCGGCGCGGGCCCAGGGGAGCGTCGACTGGTACCTCGAGTCGGCGTGGAGCGTGGTCGTGGACCTCGGTGATGAGTTCGATCCCATGTTCCTCGAGCCTCGGGCGATGAGCTCAGTTGCAAGCTCGTGTGCTCTGCAGGCCTTCAACCGCCATGAGAGGCGGAACCTCTACTGCAGCCCCCTCTTGCTGCGGCTGTTGCTCGGGGACGCCATCGGGCAGCCGCTCGGGCCAGGAAGCGAGCGGCACGTGAAGGTGCGGCACGCACGAGGTGCCTCCTTTACCAGCGCACTCGGGACGATGCGTATCTGGAGACTTCGACAGCCAGTTGTTGTGGGCAGGCACAACGGCAAGCAGCACTTCGATGGCTCGGCCTGGAGCAGCGAAGGGCTCCGTCCTGCTGGCGGGATCGGCCAGGCGCAGTCAGCTGCGGCAGCGGAGCCCCCGCAGGCTGGTGAGGCCCTCGGCGGCGGCGCTCCAGCCATGCGGCCACGCCTGGGGGACGGCCGCTCGACGGGGAGCAGCGCGGCCGCCCTCTCGGCCACCGCTGTCGCCTTCAGCGCCCTGAGGCACGTGCTCAGCTATGCCTGCGCGGGCGAAGGTGAGGACACCCAGGGGATCGGCGCGTGCACCAAGCGTGGCGCCTATAAGGTGCTGGGCAGCCACGCGGGAGGCAAGTCTCGTCTGAAGGTGCAGCGCCCAGGGCCCAGCTACCTGACCAACAAGTCAGGCAGGAACCAGCGCAGCCTGCGGGAGCGAGGGCTCCATCCTGGAGGCAGGCCGCGGGCGGACAAGCAGAGAGTGAGAGCTGAGGGCATCCCTGCCTTGCGCTCGGAAGGGCCAGTGCCAGGACACGCCCAGGATCCCTACCTGGAGTGGCTCGGCATGGAGGCGGAGCCTGCAGGCGGAGCCTCAGCCGCGGCCAGCAGCTCCGGCAGCGGCCCAGCGGCTCCCGCGGCAGCGCAGGCAGCGGAGGCGGCGGCTGCCAGCCTGCCCCAGCAGCGGCCAGGCCCGAGCGCTGGCGCCCTCGGCGCGGGTGAGACCGCCGAGGAAGAGCGCGCAGCCGCGAGCGCCGCGCCTAGCGGCGGCCTGGTGAGCCGCAGGGTCCGCCGCCGCCTGGCGCGCCGCGGCTCGGAGTCGGAGAGTGATTGAAGGCCTTCCCGCCTGTCCGCCAGCGCCTGTTGCTCCCTTGTGAGTAGGCACGCGTGGCTCGCTCTGCTTGGGACGCGGCGTCTCTCGGGAACTTTGGTCCCGCCTGGCCCTGTCCCCGTTTTCTTCCTTCCCTGTGCCTTGAAGGCCCCGTCTTTAACTTTAATTTTAACCATATGAGCATGGGAGACCACACAGGACACAGGAGCACGGCAGATCATGCAGGAGCACGGCAGACCTTACAGGAGCACGGCAGACCACATAGGAGCATGGCAGACCCCACAGTAGCACGGCAGATCACAGGAGCACGGCAGACCACAGAAGCATGGCAGATTTGAGCACGGCAGACAAGAGAAACACGGCAGATAACACAGGAGCATTGCAGATCACAGAAGCATGACAGATCAGCACCACTGGCATTGCACAACAGCGTTGCTTATTCGCGTTCTGGCTCGAGCGTTGCGAGGTGCTCTCGTGAGCGCCCGCCTGCCCAGCACGCAACCCGCACGCACACCGTACTTCCCCCCCCCCACCCGCCCGCCCAGCACACACCCAGCACGCACACGTAGCAGACCACGGCAGCACCGGAGACCACCACGGCACACCAGAGGAGCACGGCAGACAAGCACGGTAGACCACGGGATCACCGCAGACCAATATGACAGACCATTGAAGCACGGCAGACTAGCGCGGCAGACCATAGCAGCATGGCAGACCAATACGGCAGAACAGCGCGGCTGACCAACGCCATGATCCGATAATATTTGTGTTGGTCGTCTGCGGTAAGTTTCTGAGTCTCCTTGACGTTCTCAACCCGACGTCGTCTGACAAGTTTCGTGGACAGAGGTGCGCTTCCAGTTCTTGTCTGTTCAGGTTTCAAGACACACGACCACGACCCTTTGCATAAAATAGCACGCTCACATCCCACCACGATCCCAGAGCCAGCCAAGCTCACTGCAGAGCAGTACCTTGATTGTGATGCGAAGCGCCTCGTTGGAAGGGCTATGACCTGACAGGACTGTACAGGACACCGGCCGAACCGAAGCGAAGGTGTCACGAGTGCTTGGCGGAGGGGCCGAGCCTTGCCGCGGCTCCCCGCCCGACGGCCCTTCCAGCGAGAGATGGCGCAGCCGCCCCGCCCCAGATCTGAGCAGTGCTCCGCGGAGAGCCTGCGGCGCCCCCGGAGGCTCTGACCGCCGTTTGCCCTTTCGAGCTCGGGGGGGCGACTCGGCTGCGGCGGCACGGCATCGGGCCCCCGCCCAGGACCAGCCCTCCGTCTCGGGCGCCGCTGGCGGCCAGGGGCAGAGGCCGGAGGGAGCCCGGGGAGCCCAGATGGGAGGGCGGCAGGCCAGCGGCGGGGGTCCGAGGGACGGGCGCCCCTGGGGGGGCTCCCGTCTCCCTGCCCCCCCTTCGATCCCACGTCGCGAAAAGATCCAGGCATCGTACAAAGTCACGACCGGAGCCCCGGACCCCGCCCTTGTACGCCATTCTTTGAGCCGGATCGATCTGTGGTGGTCCTGGGGCCCGAAGACCGGCAAAAGAGAACGCCCAGCCCCAAAACATTGAGATGCCAGGATCTCAGGGCCCCGCCTTGGGCCTCCCTCTCTCCCCATCTACTCCTCCTGGGGGGCCTCCCTCCTCTGCACAGGCAGCCGCAGGCCAGCCCTGCCGGTGCGCCCCCGGGCTGCATCCGCAGGAGCCTCCCCCAGCATTCCGAGGGCGAGGGGGGCCGGGGCGGCGGCGAGGTCTCCGCGCCGACGCCAGCGGGTGCCGCCGTGGGCGGCGGGAGCGCCCCGGGCGGCGAGAGGCGGGCGAGGGCACCGACGGGCCACATCCCCGCGAGTCTCTTCCAGGGCGCCGGGGGCAGCGAGGATCGGGGGCTGCTAAAGGTGCCCCTGGCCTAAGGAGCCCCCAGCTTTGCGCTCCATTTTGGAGGCCCTGGGCCTGGTGAGGGGTTCTCTGGATGCCATGGGGGCCTCCTTGGAAATCCTGGGGGCACCTTGGGCCAGGGGCACTTCGGGCAGCACCCGAGAGGACGACAGCGACGAGGGGAGCCCAGGCGAGTCCCCGCTGTGGGGGGGCGATGTCGGAGAGGTGCTGGCCGGTCGGAGGGCGAGTTGCCGCAAGAGCATGGTCGAGTACTCTTCGGGGGACGAGGAGGACGAGGACGACGACGGAGGCTCGGGGGCCCCCAAAACGTTGTGGTGACCACCCCGCGTGGTGAGTCGGTGGGGATTCGGGATCACCGTACGGTTTTGGAAATTCGGGTCGAACTCCGAGGACGTCTCGGACGACCGTGCGGTGACGGACCATGCGGTGAGGTATTTGGGGATTCCGAGGTTACCGCGCAGTTTGTCTCCGCACGGTTGTGGGATCCCCAAGAGGCGCAGCACTGAGAGCGGGCGGCGGAGGGCCCGGGAGGTCTGTCCACGGCGTTGGCGTCGGAGCAGGTGCCTACCCTGAGGGCGAAGGCGCCTCAGCTCATCGCGGGGGGCGAGGGGCGCTCGCAGGGTCTGTTCCCAAGGACTTCTTCGATGACACCGAGGACGACGAGGTCGAGGACGGTGCAGCAACGCGGAACGACCAAGGGCTCTCGACCAAGGCCGTCCGCTTCGGACCAAGAGAGAGCGTGGAAGCAGCATGCCCCCCTCCAGGCCGGGAGCTCCACAGGTCCCAGTCGAGGGTGCAGGGCAGAAAGTCCACGGGGTTCGTCGGTAAGAGCCGCCTCGAAGCCGAGGAGGACCAAGACAAGGAGAACGAAGACGAGGATGAGGACGGTGCAGCAACGCGGAACGACCAAGGGCTCTCACCTAAGGCCGTCCGTTTCGGACCGAGAGAGAGCGTGGAAGCAGCAGGCCCCCCTCCAGGCCGGGAGTTCCACAGGTTCCCGTCAACGGCGCAGGGCAGAAAGCCTACGGGGTTCGTGGGCAAGAAACGCCTCGGTGAACCCGAGGAGGGCGAAGACGATGAGTCCCAGTCGAGAGTGCAGAGCAGAAAGCCCACGGGATTCGTCGGCAAGAGCCACTTCGGTGAGGCCGAGGAGGGCGGGGACGAGGACGAAGATGAGGCTCCGAGGGGTGGCGGCCAGGAGTCGAGGGAAGAAAGGCGACACGAGCACAACTGTTTGGAGGTCCGCGCGGATGTCTTGAGTCAAGATTGCCCCCCCCCCCTCGCGCGCGAAGCGCGCCAGCAGCGGCGATGGACGTACCGCCAGGGCGGGTGGGGGGCCCAGCGCCGACCTCGGCGCTACAGTCAACCTGCACAGGAAGGATGAGCGACTTGCCGAGGTTACCCTTGCATCCGTCCCCTTCGGCCCACCCTTGCCGCGTCCGCTGGCCACGCCCCGCCCGCAAAGTGTCGACGTGGCCTTCCGAGGCCCTTGCATCCTTAGGCGCCCCTGGATGACTAATTAACTGCATGCATGCCCCCGCCCCCTTGGACGATTCGCTCTATCGCCGCCTCCGACGGAAATCCGCGCGGGCCTCCGAAAGCTCACGGTCGGGAACGTTTGTCTAGTTTGTCGCTCCGCCGGTTCTGGCCCTCCACGCATCGGCGCGACACCACGACCCAGTCCCCATGCGTCAACGTTCCCAGCCTTTCCCAGCCTCCCGCCCCGTGGAGCGGAGCGACACGGCATCCGCCCGCAAGGCACAGCGTGTCGCACGGGCCGCCGCCGCGACTTTTGCATCGGCAGCGCCTGCGGACGCGGACGCGGGCGCGAAGGTCGGTACTGGCGGGACGAGGCGGGCGCAGAGCGCGTAAGAGGCGAGGGCGAGAAGAGGGGGGCCGCAGAGGAGGAGCAGGGGCGGGGCCCGACTATACCGAGAATCGCCGCCGCCGCGACACGCTGAGCCAAGACAGTCCCGACCGTGCGCTCGTGCCCTGCCTGCCGCTCCTCGGCAGGAGCCGGCGGGGCCTCGCGCGGGGAGCTTCGAGGGCGGTGCCGGCCGGGAGAGCGACGCGGTGCCCGAGCGCCGGGGCGCGCCGCCGGCTTCTTCGGCACCGGCCGTGACGGTTGTCTCTCCAGACGGCAAGGTCGCTGGCGACGAGCATCGAAGAGAAAGCAAAGTCGCATACAGTTGGCACGAGGTGTGAGAACCGCTCCGTCTTTGGATGGGTGCCCTCACGTTCTTCGTGTTTGGCCTCTCCACCTTGCAATGCTCCGCGTGCCGGGTACCTACATCGGGGCCTTGGCCTTTCGCAGGAAGGGCTCGCGCTCGCTTGGCCCACGTTCTTGTGGCCATGTTTCGACTGTAAGCATACAGAGGCCACGTTCTTGTGGCCACGTTCTTGTGGCCATGTTCTTGTGGCCATGTTTCGACACGTTGGGCGCTCCGTGCGGATTTTTCGGATCGGCGCCTGGGACCCCTGGCGGCGCCTCTGGCGCCGGCCCCTGGCGCGGACGCCCAGAGCGCGCCAGGGGTCTCAGGCGCCGATCTGGGAAATCCGCACGGAGCTCGGAAAGTTTATATCTATGCCGTTCTTTCTAAAGCAGAAGGGAGCACCCTCGATCTCTACCCCCCAGACCCCCTCGAGTCAGGAACAGGTCAAGACGAAAGGTGTTCCGCTGTTTTCGTCCTCTGGGGTCCCTCTCCAGGCCTCGGGGCCGTCAGAAAATTACGGTCGGGATCTCTGGCATAGCGTGTCGTTCCGCAGGGTTCGGGCTCACCACGCTTCGGCGCGACACGTTATCCACGTCTCCATTCCCAAGCGTCAAGGTCCCGAGCCTGTCCGAGCCTCCCGCCCCGCGGAGCGGAGTGACATGCTCTCCGCTCGCAGGACATGGCGTGTCGCCGGTGCCGCCGCCGCGACACGCTAGGCAAGAGCTCCTGACCGTCCTCAGGATCAAAAGGCGGTCCGAGGGAATGTTTCGAGCCCTTTGGGGGTCGAGACTATGAAAAACCGCGGCGTCGGGGGTCTGGGCCTCCCGGGCCTTCCGCGCAGCAGGTGCCACCGCGGCCGCGGCGGCGGCTGCGCCACCAGCGGCCGCCGCTGCGGTGGCATCTGCCACGCGCAGGGTGCGGGAGGCGGGGGTCGAAGGTTGCAGGACGATGGTTTAGGCCTCCCCCAATGTGGTCCTGGGGTGGAAGAATCGATACGCATCGACGATGCGGCTTGATGTGGAGCCAGAATTTCCCCACGCCCTCGGCGCCGATGCATCGCCGACGTCGCCAATGCACCACCCATGTACAGTCGACCCGCATAGTGAGGATGAGCGACAATCCAAGGCTACCCTTGCATTCTTGTCGCTGCGGCCCATCCTTGGTAACTTTCGCTGGCCAACCCCGCTCGAAAGACGTTAACATGGCCCTCCAAGGCCCTTGCATCCTCACCAGGCATCCTTCTTATACGGGTTGACGGTATCGCCGATGCACCGTTGATGCACTGGCGATGCAGTGACGATGCAGCGCGATCCTCCGACCCCATCTGCGCGGAACCCTCTCGGAGGCCTCTCTGCGCCCCTCCTAGCTTTCGGGCGGAGTTATTCCTCTTCGAATATTATTATAGCGGAAACCCCTCCTTGACCTTCCCACCCCCCGTACATAAATTCGGTTTTGGGCGCTCCCACCGACGTCAAATTCGAATTTCGGTTTCGGGAGCCTCTCCCGGCCATCCCTGGACGGCCCCGCAAAGCCCCAAGGCGGCCCAAGACCGCTCCAGAACCGCTCATGAGCGCTCAAAGAGACTTCAAGGTGGCTTCAAGACGGCCCAAGGTGCTCTCAAGACGCCTCAAGAGGCCTCCAAGAAGAATCCCAAGAGGTTAAAATCGTCCCATTTCCTTCGGAAAACGTATATGTTTAGCATATCCGCTTCTTTGGCATTCACCGCGTCCAAGACGGCCCAAGAGGCCCCCAAGATCGCCCCAGGACGGCCCAAGAAGTCCCCAAGGGAACCCCAAGACAGCCTAAAAGGGCTCCAAACGACCCGAGAGAGCCCCAAGACGGCCCCAAAGAGCACCAAAAGGCTTCCCAGAGAGCCCCAAGAAGGCCGCAGGAGCCCCCCAAGAAGAACTAAGAGGGCCCCAAGACGGCCCAAGCCCCCCAGGACGGCCCAAGAGGGTCCCGGGACAGCCCAGGAGGGCCGCCAGACAGCCCAAAAGAGCTTCAAAGGAGCCCCACGAGAGCCCCGAGAGGCCATACCCCTATTTGCCATGGGAGGCCTGTCGGCCCCACAAGCCCTACGACCACTATGATGCCCCATCAGCCCTGTGAGACCTGGAATCCTAACACCTCCAGAGCTTTCGCCCCCACACGCCGCGAGACTCCGCAGGGCCCCCCCAACTCATAATCCGGATCACGGGTGTGCCGCCATGGACGGTGCGGCGGCATGCACACGTTGGTTCTTCACCGTCGGTGGAGCGGTGAGGCGGCATGCACACGTTGGCTCTTCACCGTCGGTGGAGCTCCATGTGGGGTGCGGTCCATGTGAGGGGACATTCGGCACACATGTGGTGACGTAGCGTTCTGCGGATCCTCCCAGGAAGACGGATCACAAGGGCCCCATGAGGGCCACGAGACGGCCGAAGGTGCCCCATTGCGAATCCTCCATTCAGAGCCGCAGGTGAAGCCCGCTCTCCTGGGGGAGAAGCACACAAGGAAAGGAGAGGAGCAAGGAGCTCGCAATGCTCCTGGGGGCCCTATGGCCCCCAGGAGCATAACGAGCTCTATGAGCCCAATGGCCCCCAAGAGCTGATGATTCCAAGGAGCCCCAGGACCCTTATAAGCACCATGAGGCCCCTATGACCCCCATGACCTCTGCAAAAGCCAATCAGCATTATGAGCCCCTTGCCCGATGTGCACAAACAGTCCCATGACCCCAACGAACCCCATGAGGCCTGTGAATCCTATGAGTCTCATGACCCCCTGGAGCCGCATCGGCAGCATTACCCCTCGCCTAGAATGGGGGCTCCGAGCCCCTGGGGCCCATGACGGCAGAGACCCCCTCTGAGCTCTTTGAGCTGCAAAATTCCCTGGGTCCTATCAGCCCTGTTTGCTCCATGGTCTCCATGGCCAGAACACACCGCGGCTGTGACGACAACCGATCTCATCGCGCCTCCCTGGCGCCATGCGACCCAGATTTTGAAAGGCGAAGCGCAGCGAGCTGGTAAAATCTGGTGTACCTGTTATGTATATATATATATATGCATATATATACACACAAGTGGTACGTGTGTGCCCAGGCTCATACAAAAAATAGAAGGGCATGAAGCAGGAAGACACCATGACGGCGGGATCGGAGATGAAGAAGAGGAAGCTGGGGCGGCGCCGCCAGGGCGTGCCTAAGAGAAGGGGAAGACGGCAGGAGGTGAACGCAGAAGAATCTAAGATCGAGTAAGAGCCCCCCCAAAGGATTGGGGATCGAGAAGGAGGATCGACAAGGGCAATGCCTCTCCGAGGTCAGTGTTGCGAGGATGTCTCAGGCGAAAGTGGCCTGGCCACCTCAGCTCAAGGCATCTCGGAACCCAGAGTTGCGAGGATTCCCACCAGCCGATTTGTTTCACCAGACAATGTGTGGAGGGAAAGGGAAGGAGGAGAAGAGGAGGAGGATAGCTGCTGGGAGTGAAATGCAATAGCGAGGTCGCACTCGAGCGCAAGTGGGGTTGCCACTCCTTGCGATGTGTGTACCAGGGCCCGCCAGGAAGCCTCAGGAGGCCCGACTTGGATACCGGAAGTGGCTCCAGGAGGCCCCAGGATTGTGAGTGTTGTGTTGGTGTGTGTGTGTGTGATGTGTGTTCTGTGTTGTGTTTGTTTCCTGTGCGTTGTAGGTGTTGTGTGTGTTATGTTTGTCTAGCGTGTGATGTGTTGGGTGTGATGTGTGTCGTTGTGTGCGCATGTAGTTCTGAGGCCCCAGGAGGCCCGAGGAGGCCCCAGGCAGCGTCAGGAGGCCCCAGGAGACCCCAGGAGGCTCCAGGAGGCCCCAAGAGGTTCCAGGAGGCCGCAGGAGACTCCAGGAGGCCCCAGGAGGTTCCAGGAGACCCCCAGAGGCTCCGAGGCGGAGTCTGGGGTACCAGAAGGTACAGAAAGCCGTGGGAGGCCCCAGGAGGTTCCAGGAGGCCCCCAGGAGGCTCCGAGGCGGGGTCTGGGGTACCAGAAGGTACTTCAAGGCTCGATTGTGGGAGGATGTCTCAGGCGAAACCGCCATTCTCTGAAAATCGGGGTCAAAATCATTGAAATTACACTGTGTTTTTGAAGGTTTTATGTTAAAATGTTGAAATTCCCAGGTGTTTTTGGACCCTGACGTCACGATCTGTGATCGGGGTGCCACCCATTTTCAGAATTTCGAGGATGTCCCTAGCGAAACGGCAAGAAAAATCGCGAACGACGCGGCGCGTATGCATTAATCGCCTCTGAGCTCTTATTATATCGGAGAGGTGCGTATGATAATATATTATATATATATATATATATATAATATATATATATATATGTGTATATGTGTATGTATATATATACATATAAACATACATACAAATGTACATACATACATTCATACATGCATACATACATACATACATGCATGCATACATGCATGCATGCATACATGCATACATGCATACATGCAGACATGCAGACATGCAGACATGCAGACATGCAGACATGCAGACATGCAGACATGCAGACATGCAGACATGCAGACAGACAGACAGACAGACAGACAGACAGACAGACAGACAGACAGACATGCATGCATGCATACATACATACAGACATACAGACACATACATACATGCATGCATGCATACATACATGCATGCATGCATGCATGCATGCATACATACATACATACCTACATAAATACATTCGCATGCATACATACACATAGACAGACAGACAGACAGACAGACAGACAGACAGACAGACAGACAGACAGACAAACAGACAGACACTATAAATGATAATAGTCGTGTATGTGCATATTCCTATAGTGATACATCCTGCATGGAGAACACCCCCCCAGATGACCGCCACCCCCCACACACACATACACCCCCATACCTTTCGGGCGGTCCCCCCCAGTCCCGGGAAGGTCTTTGAACAGACTTCGAGGGCTCGCTCGCGCCTCCGCCGCGCCTCCCAGTGCGCCTTGCCGGGCCTTGCCATAAGACCAAAGGCAATCCAAGGAGTCATAAGATCGCCCAGAAAGCCTCAAGATGCCCAAGAAGGCCCCACGACAGCCCAAGAAGCCCCCCAGATGCCCCAACTGGCCCCAAAGGAGCCTCCCAAAAGGGCCCCAAGAGGCCAACATCGTTGATTGCCCTGTGTGTTTTTCAATGTTTCCGGTCTTCTCGCTTTTCTGGTTTCCAGACGCACCAAGACGGCCCAAGAGGCGTCAAGATCACCCCAAGACGGCCCAAGAGGCCCCCAAAACGACCCCAACACGGCCCCAAGACAGCTCTAGAGGGCCCAAGGCCCAAAGACCGCCCAAGCGGCGCCCAAGAGGGCCCAAGAGAGCCCCGAGAACGCCCCAAGAGGCGCCAACCCTTTGGGCAAGTGGAAGCGCACCGGAGCAGCCACGGGCGCGAAAGTGGTTCGATGCAACCACGGCGCTTGCTTGGACCGAATCGGAAGCGTCGCAACGAAGTCGCCACAGAATCGGGGGCGAATCGGGACAACGGCGTCGGCAGTCGACAGCGGGACTCGTCTTCGCCCCGCTGGGGACCCTGTTGGGCAGACTCGAGGCTCCCTTGGCCTTTCCTGGGGCTCTCACTTTGGAAGGCCCGTGGGGCCTCTTGGAGGGGTCGGGGATCGCAACGAATGCGAAAGTGGTTCGGCAGAACTACGACGCTCTGGACTCCGCCTGGAATCCTCTCTACCGAGACTCTTCGGGGCCTCTTTGTGGCCTTTGGGGGGCCTGTTGGGGGCCTCTTGGGTCCTGTTGGGGGCGCCTCGGGGGCCTGTTGGGTGTTCGGGGGGCATCGTGGCGCGGATGCCACGCAAGGTCGGTTCGAGCTCCCCCTCTTGTGCCCTTCTTGATGCCATCTTGGAGGCCTATTGGGTTCGTCCCAGAGTCCTTGGAAGCCTCCTGGGGCCCTCTTCGGGGTCTCTAGGGCCGTCTTGAGGCCCTCTTGGCGGGTTCATGGCCGTCCTGGGGCGATCTTGGCAGGCTCCGGGGTCGTCTGGGGCATCATGAAGATCAAGAGGGCGACAATTCGGAAATCATATTCAAACCAAGTGGATTGTGACGATGTTTGCCTTTGGGGACCCTCTTTGGGGTCGTCTTGGGGCCTTCTTGGGGCGTCCTGGGGACGTCTGCAGGCCATCGGAGGGCATCTTGGAGCGCCCTGGGGTTGTCCTGAGGCCCTCTTGGATCATCGTCGCCGCCTTCTGGAACGCCTTGAGACGTCGTGGCGCCGTTTGGGGGCTCGCTTGGCGCCCTTTGGGGCCGATCTGAGGCCGCTCTGGCACGTGGAGGACCAAGGGTACCCCCCAATCTGCTAAGGCCCCCACGTTGGTGGGAGCGCCCAGGATCGAATTTATGTACGGGAGGTGGGGGATCCGGATTAGAATATTCCAGAGGGAACATATACATATCTATATATATAACAAACATATGCATATTGTATACATTAGCATATGCGCACGCATATACATATCATGTACATATATGTATACAAATGTATATCTAGACGAACATATATGTATATAGTTGTATATACACGTATGTGCATGTATACATGAGTGTGTGCATGCATGGGTATATACATACATTCATGCATGCATACATACCTGCATGCATGCATACATGTATGCATACATGCAGCCATGCATGCATGCATGCATGCATGCATGCATGTATGCATGCATACGTGACATACATACATATATACATATATACTGTCATGCAAACATACATACATATATACACACGCGTACGTACATACATACCTACATACATACATACGTGCGTACACACATACATACATGCATGCATACATACATACATACATACATGCATACAGACAGACAGACAGACAGACAGACAGACAGACATCTAAATCTACATAGCTACCTACATACCTACATACATACATGGATGCATGTATGCAATCATCCATACATGCATGCATACATACATATACATATGCATATGCATACATACGTATATTTACATATACGTATAAAATCCATATACCAATACATGCATACATATGTATATATGTTGGGTTCAGTCTTGGCGCTTTCCCTCCTCTCTGGGGGCCGTTTTCGGGCCCCAGGGCGCCATCAGAAATGGATCCAGGACGTGACCTTGCGCACCCCTGGGATCGGGAGCCTTAAGACAGGGTCCATGCAAACGGGGGTCAGCCAGAACGCTGGATCTTGCAGGATATTTCAAAGCCAGGGTTGCAAGGACCCAGGCTAGCGCGCAGGATCCTGCAGGATGTTGCAGGGTGTTGCAGGATCCAGCGCAGCCCGACTGACCTGGGCTTGCATTGACCCGGGCCAGTGCACCCCCAGGGAAGGGGTCGAGATCTCTGGGGACCGCGGACTTACATCTCTGGACAAAAAAGAAAAGGCGCATGTTGGGGGGGGGGGGGGGGCGGGGCTGCCTTCTCGAGAAGGTGGGCCGCCCCCGAGAGGAGCCGAAGGGCCAAAATGAGAGCATTAGCATAAACATTCTGAGGGCCGCTCGGATCTCCTGGCTCGTCCGGACCCCCGCCTGGCGGCGCTTCCAGCGCCGCCCCCGGAGGGCCTCGCACGGCCAGCGACGGCCTAAGAAATCCGCGCGGACCTCCGACGGCCTGTGTTTACGCAGCTGCTGCTCGTTCCTGCAGAGATGTTGCCCCAACTCCTCGCAGGCACTCCTGCGCCCTCTCGGGTCAGCCCTCCCGAGACGCTCCTGGTGTCCGCGGAGGCCTCGAGGGGCCGAGAGAGGCCGCAGAAAAGCGCAGGGACCTCGACATCTGTGGTCCCCGAGCCGCCACGGGTCCCCGCCCCCCCTCTCAGCCACGCGCAGAGGGGGGTAGGTGGAGGGGGAAGGGCTTCTTAAAAGCACCCTGGGGGAAGAACCAATCCGTGTCCCCAATCCGTACGGTAGGTTTGCGTCGTGTCGACCAGCGGCGACCCCAGCGCGGGCGTTCAAGGTTGAACGCCGCCGGCGACCCAGAATCGATCGATGTGGAACGATCGGACGTTGCGGAGACGGCCGATCGTTCAAGGTTGAACGATCCAGCGCGGTGTCAGGAACCAACGCCCGGGTCGACACGGCACGGACCTGCCGTAGGCGTATGAGAACACCACGCAGCTCGCAGAGCTGCGGCGACCGTTGTGTGGCGGTCCCCACTTATGGTAAGCACCCTGCTTCTTAGAAACCTTCCCCCCTCCCCCTACTCCCATCTGCGCGCCACCAGCCCTCGCCAACCCACCCCGTGCGCGAGCCGCCAGCAAGGGGCGGAGGATGACGCTGAAGGGGGTGCAGAGCGACGACGGCAGCTCCCCGCAGCGCTCCCCGCGGGACGCGGGCGGGCGCGGCGACGAGCACGGTGATCAGGGGAGGGGGAGCAGGAGGAGGAGGAGGAAGAGGAGGAGGATGAGGAGGAGGAGAAGGAGGAGGAGAAGGAGGAGGAGCAGCTGCAGCAGCAGCAGGAGGAGGAGGGAGGAGAAGGGGGAAGGAGGAGGAGGAGGAGGAGGAGAAGGAGAAGTAGAAGGAGGAGGAGGAGGAAGGAGGGAGGAGGAAGAGGAGGACGGCGAGGGGGAGGAGGGGAGAGTACGAGGAGGAGGAGGAGGACGAGGAAGAGGAGGAGGAGGAGGAGAAGGGGAAGGGGGAGGGGGACAAGCTAGGTGCGCTCGCGTCACATCTGACGTCCTACACCTCCCTCCCATCCCTTACCATGGCGTAGATATTCTCCCTATTCGCACAGTCGGATGTCGAGCAGGGCAATGATCGCGAGAGGGTGCGCGATGGATCGTAGAGCACGGCATGGCAGGGCGTAGAAGAGCACGGCAGAGCGTAGCATGCTATAGCATGGCGTGGCGTTACGTAGTGAAGAATTGCATCACAAAGCAGTGCAACGCAAAGAATGGTATCGCACAGCGGCGCAGAACACAACACCGCACAGCGTGTCATGGCATGGCGCCGGCTTCTTTTGAGGGTAAGTGAATCGTCTTCCAGAGGTCTGGGCCGGTCTGCAGTCGTGGCTCCATGTCTAGCTCCTTGGACTCCCCGATAAGCTCCACACAAGGCGGGGCTGATTGAGAGCACCCGCTGGCTCTGCTTTCAACATCGCCTTATCAAAGCAAAAAGGGGGCTCCTTCCTGAAAACGACGACGCCCCAAAGTGGGGGGGCTTCTGCGGCCCAGAAAATCAACAAATCAACACCGAATGTGTAGTCACTTCCGATGTTTTTTGGGGGGGGGAGCATTTTCTAGCTTTGGGGGCATGGCATCGCACAGCGGAACACAACATAACATTGCATTGCATGCCGTGGCATGGCACTGGAAATAATGACGCCAACGCTGCAGCGGGAGAACGATTCGGAACGAGCGGAAGCGCCGAATAAGGCCAGCGCTGCAGCGGGAGCACCATTCGGAACGAGCGAAAGCGCGGAAATGAGGCCATCGTTGCAGTGGGAGCACGATTCGGAACGAGCGGAAGCCCGAAAAAGAGGCCCGCGCTTCAGTGGGAGCAGCACTTCGAAAAGAAACCGAAGCGAAAACCCAATCCGGGGAGTCTTCTATGCCAAAAAAAAACCTTACGCGGAGGGGGGGCCGGACATCTTCCAGACGTCATCAGGAAAGGAGAGTAGTATTCACATTATGTAATTGTGGAGGAGGAGGAAATGGGGACGAAGAGGGAGAAAGAGGATGAGGAGAACGAGGAGGAAGAGGGAGACGAGGAGGAGGAGGACGAGGACGAGGAGGAGGAGGAGGAGGAGCAGGAGGAGGAAGAGGAGGAAGAGGAGGAGGAGGAGGAGGGAGGAGGACGACGAGGAGGAGGAGGCGGAGAAGGCGAGAAGAACAGCGAAGGCGGGAGGACAAGGAGCACGAGGAACACGAAGGCGAGGCAGGCGGGAGAAGGTGGTGTGGGGCCGAAGCGCGCGGGCGCGGAAACTCGGACCGAGGTGGCCTTTCCCCCACCGGTCAAGGATGGCCGGCTGGTGGAGCCGACAGGGCCGACGATTGTGGCGAAAGCGTTGGGCGGCACCTTGCGCAGCGGGGCCTGATCCTCATGGATCCCCGTTCTCTACGAGCCCACTGCGCTCGGGGGGATAGGGTGTGGCATTCGCACAGATGTATACACACTTATACACGTACCCCCCGTACGTGGACACAAGAACATAATAATAGCCATGTGCCTACAGTCAAGACGTTGATATAAGGACCACTTGGGGCTCGGACGGGTCTGTGTTTTCCCGCTCCTTAGATCTAGGTCCAGGAACCTCTTCAAAGCCGGGGCTCGCCATGTCCAGAAAAAAACCCTTCCGTCCCGTCTTCAGCGTCCGTTGTGGTAGCACGATGACTGTAGTCCCTTGCAGCTGGGTGTACTAGTGAGGGGGCGCCTGGGCTGGGGCGCACAATGCTCCTCTCCAAGGCCAAAGCCAAACGTCCCGCCGCAGGCTCCGATTTCAGTTTTGATAGCAACGTGGGTGGATCGGACGGCCGCAGGCGCCGACTGGGTTGAAGCAACATCGCGGGTGGATCGCGGCGCGGGTGGGCCGCGGCGGATTTGGGTCGCGGGTGGGTCGCGGGGCGGCTGACAACAACAACAACAACAACAACAACAACAACAACAACAGCAGCAGCAGCAACAACATCAACAATCATTTTACGATTGATCGCTCTGACTTGCTCGCGTGCCATTCAACACGTAAATCCCAAACCCTCGGCACCCGCCCTCTTCGTCTTCGAGCGTACCCCTTCTGGGGGTATATCTTCCTTACCTGCCGCGTGTAATTGGCGCAACCCCTGAAACAGGGGAAGGGACGACGGATGGAAGGTGGAGGGAGAAGGATGAAGCACGGGATTAGCAGGAGGGGGACTAGAAGCAGAAAACATGTGGTAGAACCAGACGGGCCCATCGTGCGGGTAGATCCGAACGGACGGGTCGGGAAGGCGGGCCCAAGCGGTCAGGTCGGCAAGGCGTGTTGTTGAAGCGTGAGTATTGCATGAATCGCGAGGAGAACTCGAGCGATAGCGCGATTCCCAAATAAATCATGAGAAAGGCTAAAGCGAGAGCGTGATTCCTGAGTGTCGAGGGCGCGGCGTCTGAATAAATTGCCAGGAAGTCCCACGCGAGAGCGCGGTTCTTGCATAACGTGCGGGGACGTCCCGCGCGAAATTGCGATTTTTGAATAAATGGTTGACGATTCGTATATCCCCACCAGCCCATCCAGAAACGATGCCCAAGGGAGTTGAGGTGATCAGGGAAGTGGGGGGGCATGCAGAAGAACAAAGGGCGGGGGAAACCGTCCGACGTGGGGAAAGTAGAGGAGCAAGGAGGGAGGATGAGGAGGAGGAGTATTGATAAGGAGGAGGAGGAGGAGGAAAAGGAGGAGGAGGAGGAGGAACAAAGGACAAACATAAGGGCATCCTCGAATGTATCGTGGGAGTTGTTTGGAGGCCTCTTGGAACGTCTGGGGGGCAGCTTGGGTGGTTCGGTGATCCTCTTGAAGCCTCTTGGGGGCCTCTTGGGAGCCTCTTGGGGGCCTCTTGGGCGCCTCTTGGGGCCGCCTGGGCGCCTCTTGGGGCGTTCTTGGGTGCCTTGGGAGCGCTCTTCGGGCCATCTTGGAGGACATCGATCAAAAAAGGGGGTCCCGAATTACCGCCGCCAGTCTAGAGTGCCGAAAATCGCCTCTTGGGCCCCTCTTGGGGCGCTCTTGGAGCGCTCTTGGGCGCTCTCGGGGCCGTCTTGGGGCTCTCTTGGGCCCCTCTTGGGGCCATCTTGGGCCCTCTTGGAGCCATCTTGAGGCCTTGGAAGGCTGGCTCCCAAGGCCATCTTGAGGCCTTGGGAGCCAGCCTTCTTGAGGCAGTTTGGGATATCTTGAGCCATTTTGGAGCTCATCTTGGGCTAGTCGAGGCGCTCTTGGAACCATCTTGGGCCATCTTGGGCCCCCCAGCCCCTCGGGGGACCCCCGTCCGGGTCCAGGGTAGGGGGTAGGGGGAGGGGTAAACCCCTCCCCGACGGGGAAGAGGGGCAGGTGGAAGACAAGGCACGCTAGACCACCTACGCCCTCAGAGCCTGGTGGGATTGCGAACTTCAGGCGGGAACCGTTGTTGCTGTAGTGGTGGGCCCAACAACCCAGTGTGGTGACCCCAGGAAGTGACGCTCCAGTTGCGGATCACATACCTCTTTTAGCCGAGGCGGCGCAGTCCTGAGTCACGATCGATGGCGCGCAGGAGGGAAGTGAGAGGGGGAGAGGGGGCAGGTCTTTTCAGAAGACCGCCAGGCTTTTCAGGAGAAGCCCCCTGGCCTGCTGAGAAGCCCTCTGTGGCTTCCGTGAAAGCTTCGAATGCGGAGGCGTTCTGAGCTTTCTGGGAAGGCCTACCACCTCTGCTTTCCCCCGCGCGGGGGCCGCCGAAAATCTCCCGCCACCGTGGCTGGGCGCCGCGGTGGCCATGGCTCCTGGCCCAACTTTCGAGCCCTTGTTCCCAGGAAGTCGAGTCACGTGAGCTGATTCGCTAACCCTTCCTTATAACTCCATTCTTCGTCCGACCCGACGAGCCTCCGCCGCTTCTCGCCCTCCCCTGCTGTGGACCAGAGGGGAGTCAGGAGGTGATGGTTCCCTCGTCCGCCTCTCTGTCTTTTTTTTTCTCTCTCTCTCTCTCTCTCTCTCTCTCCGCAGCCGCTTCGGCATGGGCCGCCTCCAGCTTCGGTCGCACTTCTCCGCCGCCGCGCCCCTCGGGGCCGCTAGCCGCGCCGCGGCGCGCTAGGCGGAGCGCATGACCGGCGCCACCGTGGACCCTCAGGCCAGTGGCCCAGACCTCCAATCCATTGAGAATCCCAAGCAGTGAAATGTTGCATTGTGGATGTGTAAGCTATGTAGTGTGATCTATGGGGTGCAATTGGCTGCCCTGCACCGCGCTTGACCACCACCACTGCTTACGCGAACATCCCACACACCCACCCGCAACGTAGTTTGCAAAACCCATGCGGTGGCGATTGCGATGCATGCTTGGCGTTGGCTGGCGCATTCCTGCGGCCACGCCAACCCTAGCACGCGCGCGCAGCGGCCAGCTAGTTTGGCGCCACCGACGCGGCCGCGGTGGCGCTAACCGCTGGGCGCATCCCAGCGGGCACTTCATTGCGAGTCGGCGACGGGCGCGGTATCATGGCAACGCCGACTACGGTAGACGCGATGATGATAGTTGCGATGCTGATGACGATGTTCGCACCGACGAAGGCGCGACCAGCGCGGGCGCCGATGCTGATCACGCCGGCGACGATGACGGCGTCCTCGCGTCGGTGATGGAGGTTTCGGAAAGAGTTCGACATGCGCGCGCGCGGCTGACGCACGAGAGTGCCCCGCATTGTTTTTCTTGACACGGATTGGGCCCCCCCAGCACGCGCGCAAGGGCGTGCGAATGATGTCGGCATGCGACGCCACAGGCCCATTTGGCAGAATTCCACGACGATCTTGAAAACCGCATGGATTTCTCAAGAATTCGCAAGAGCGCGCGCGCAAGCCTTTCTTGATAACGGATGTTGCGAAACCTTGTGTTTTTGAATGTGGTTTGAACATTCGGGTTCGAAATCGTTATTAAACCGGACGTTTTTGAAGGATTTCGGCACGCGTGCGCGACGACGCGCGCGCGCGCACTTCGTCCCATTTGTTGCAAAGGATGTTTGGAAATTGTTGGTTTTTGATAAACGAGTGTGCGCGCATAGTTGTTTGCAGAGAATGGCGGGGGGGGGGTGATACCAGCTCGGCTGGGATGGTACGAGTTCATATTTACAATGGACGATGGGGCAAACTCATATGTAAATTGAAATACGGAGAAAAGGGAGCGATAAACCTGGGGTGCGTCCAATTCTTTTCTAAAACCGGATCATATATATACACACACACTTTCATACATACATAGACATATACATGTTTACACATTTCCATATTTACATACATGCATACATACATACATGTATGCATATATGTGTGGATATGTACATATATATATATATATATATATATTCATGTCTATATATGTGTGTGTGATTACTTATATGTTGTGTGACATATGCGGTGCAAGCTACGAGGTGCCGTATATGTGTTGAGCTACGTGGTGTAGAAGATTGGGTACATTCAAATGTGGTGCAAGAAATGCAGTGCGAGCTATTCAGGGTACGCTACGCGGCAAATATACGTGGTGCAAATAACGAATGTTCATAAACGAGTTTTCACCTCCACGGCTCGCGTTTTCACTCCATCCTCCCATCCGCAACTTGTTTTGCACAACCCATGCGGCCGCGATGGCGGTAACGTTTCGACACTGACTAGCGCATTTTTGCGGTTGCGCCGCAAGCGCGCGCAAATTCGCGCGCACAGCGGCCAGCTGGTTTTATGACAACCTCCCAGCACGTCTCGGAGGCCGCTTTGGCGCGCGGGCACTTCAATGCGGGTCGGTGTCCTGGGCGGGCACGGTATCATGATGACGTCGACAACGACGGCAACGATGATGCTAGTAGCGATAATGGTGGCGATATTAACGATGACGACGGCACGGCCAATCACAACGCCGATTCTGGTGACAAGGATGACGATGGTGATGTCCATGTGTCGATGAAGGATGCGTTTGGATAGCGATGGCGGCATAATCAGCGATTGTCCATGACGATGGCGTGATGCGGCAACACTGGTGAGGGTGATGGTGAAAATGTGCGCGCGCGGAGTTTCAAGAACGCTGGAAGACATGTTGTTCGACAGTTTGTTTTGTCATATGTTCTTGAAGGGCCCTATCTTGAAATGCTTCGAAATAGAACGGATTTGGACCGATTTCAACACGCGCGCACGCCCGTGGCGGCGCGCTCGTGCGGCCAGCATGGCATTATTTGACACGGCCTAGTGCGTTGAGCGCATGTTCGATCAACGCGGATGCACTGCGTGGTGGGGCCATGTCTTCTTCGTACTTTTTCAACTATCAAGCGCGGGCAGAAAAGATGTCGACATGTGCGCGCGCGTGTGTACGTTGGGCCGGTCGTTCTTGTCTGCGAAGGGTTCTTGAAACATGATTTGTTGTTTTAAACGAAATTGCGGATAATCCACGCGGTGCCATATATGGTGTGGAAACTATTTCGTGCAAGCCACGAGGTTCAGTCCACGTGGTGCGAGCCACCGTATTGAGCGTATGCGGTGAGAGCTGCGTGGTGCATTCCATCCGGTATACGCTGCGAAGTGCAAAGTATGTTGTGCAATCCACCCTGCAGAACTTGGAGTCGTCAGCCCCCGTGCTCGCGCAATCACACAACCCTCCCATCCGCGGTTTCACTTGTGCAACCCACGCGACCGCGATTGCGGCGATTACTATGGGCTGGTTGGCTCATTTCTGCGGCTGCGCTACCGCGCGCAAGCTCGCGCGCAGAGCGGCAATCTAATTTGGCACAACCGACGCGGCTTCGATGGCGCTTACGGAAGGCAACTTCCCACCGCGTCGCAAAGGCGGCGCTGGCGCGAGGGCACTTCAGTGCGGGTAGGTGATTCGGGTGGGCGCAGTACCATGATGATTTCGACAAGGTAAGCAACGGTAATGAAAATAGCGATGGTGGTGGAAGATGACGCCGGCAAGGCCAATGATGGCGCTGACGCTGGTGACGACATTGGCGACGTTGACTTTGTGTGTCCGTGATAAACGTGATTGACATTGATTAACTGATCACGGCGGCAGTAGCGGCGATTGACGATGAGAATAACAGGCGTTGACGCGGTGGCGAAGCCGACGATGATGGTGAGGAAGTGCGCGGGCGCGGAAACGCAACCAACCTGGTAAACATATTGTTGAAAACCCGTGTTTTATATGTCGTGAAGAGTTATATCTTGAAATGTTTCGAAGACCGTGGTATTGAAAAGGATTTCGAGGCGCGCGTGGCGGCGCTCGCGTGTGGCCCGCGCATGGTATCATATCATACGGGTTCGTGCATTGGGCGCACGTTAAATCAACGAGGACGAACCGCGTGGTGGCATGATAACGCAGATGTTGGACGATACTGTTAAAATTGGATGCTATCCCTACAGCTTCAGAAGAATATGCGCGCGGGAAGAAAAATACAGCATCTCCGGTACAGAACCAAAAACGATTAGAATACGAATGTGTTTGGTATGAGTTCGACGTGCTTGCGCGTGTGGAGACTGTGTGTTTTTTGCTTGGCCATGGGCCCCAGGAAAATTACAGTGTTACATAAACGAGTGCGCGCGCATAGTATTGTTTGACCGGGATGAAGGGGGTAGATACTTAGTTGGGCTGGGATGGCATGAGCCCATATGGAAAACGAACCATTCAGCAGAATCAAATGTACATTGCTTTATCCCCAGGTGAATCGATGACCCCAGTGGGGGTGCAGGAGTCGACCTTTGTTTTACAAAAAAAAAAAAAAAAAAAAAAAAAAAAATGTGGCGTGAGCGTCGGAGCTATGCAGTGTACGCACGGTGCGCCCACGGGCGGCAACGCGGCGACGATTCGCCGGACCCACCCACTGCACGGGGCGCCCACGAGGCGGCCGCGTCCGGCATCATGGCGAAACCTCGCCAGAACGACCCAGCGCGCGGGGCGGCCACGAGGCGGCCACGGGCGGCAACATGGCGAACTTTTGCTGAATTCACCCAACGCACGAGGGGGCCACGAGGCGGCCACGGCCGCGACAACGTGGCGAAACCTCGCCAGTCCCACCCAGCGTACGAGGCGGCCACGAGGCGGCCACGGGCGGCAGCGTTGCGAAACCTCGCTCGACCGACCCAGCGCTCGAGGGGGCAACGAGGCGCTCACGGCCGACAACGTGGCGAAACCTCGCCAGACCCACCCAGCGCACGGGGCGCCCATGAGGCGGTCATGGGCGGCAACGTGGCGAAACTTCGCCGGACCCACCCAGCGCACGGGGCGCCCATGAGGCGGCCACGGGCGGCAACGTGGTGAAACCTCGCCAGACTCACCCAGCGCACGAGGCGGCCACGAGGCGGCCACGGACAGCAACGTGGTGAATCACCGGCGAGCCCACCCAACGCATGAGGCGGCCATTGGCGGCAACGTGGAAAGTCTTCGCTGGATCCAGGAAATTCCGGTGTGACGTGAGAAGGAAGCCCTAAGTGCAGGCACTGTTCAGGGAAAAAGTCACAGCATTTTTTCCCCCAACCATAATGTGGTGTTGGGTCCTCGTTTTGAAGAGACAGCGCCCCTTGTTTCTCCTCTCCTCCTCCTCCCCCTCCTCCCGTCACCCCCCTCACTTCGGCACACCCCTCACACTTTTCGTGGCTCTATAGGGAGCTCCACCGAAGGTCCCAGTAGCGCAGCCCGCATGCGCCTCCCCCACCCAGTACAACGGTTCGTGGCCCCATAGGGAGCTCCACCGAAGGTCCCAGTTGCGCAGCCCGCATGCGTCTCCCCCACAATACAGCGCTGCGTGGCCCCATAGGAGGCTCCACCGAAGGTCCCAGTGGCGCAGCCCGCATGAGTTTCCCCACACAGAATTGGCCTCGTGACCCTATAGGGAGCTCCACCGAAGGCCCCAGTGTCGCAGCCCGCATGCGTCTCCCCCACCCAGTACAGCGCCTCGTGGCCCCATAGGGAGCTCCACCGACGGCCCCAGTGTCGCAGCCCGCATGCGTCCCCCCCACCCAATACAGGGCTTCGTGGCCGCATAGAGAGCTCCACCGACGGCCCCAGTGCTACCGCCCGCATGCGTCCCTCCCATCCAGTACAGCCTTCCATGGCCCCATAGGGAGCTCCACCGAAGGTCCCAGTGTCACTGCCCGCATGCGTCTCCC